ATGAGTTCAAGTCCCTCGCCAACGCCACGAACCGCGCCAACTCTGTCGCAAACTACTGTCGCAAATACATTGTCGCATTTCTGAATGCTGCGGGAGGGGTGCTGTATTGTGGCGTAGAGGATAATGGTGTCGTGCTGGGCTTGCCACTGACTAGAGCCGAACGCGACGACATTCGGTTGGCCGTTGATCGCACTATCAAATCATTTGTACCACAGGTGAGTACCCCACTGATGTAGTGTCTACCGTATACAATTACGGAACGCTATGCTTGTGCTTTGTTCGTTCATGTAGCTTACCGAGAATATGCCTGGCCCTAGTATGTCTTACGGAAACCCCCTAAGACTTTAACACCCCCCCCCCTATTTCCTCAGAGTGTTTGCAGACCATTAAAACCTTATAACCTCGAAGTGTTTAAAACCCACTAACACCTTACAATCTCAGAGTGTTTACGAACCACTAAAACCTTATAGTCTCAGTGTTTACTAACCATTAAAACCTTGTAACCTCAGAGTGTTTACAAACCACTAAAACTTTATAATCTCAGAGTGTTCGCAAACCACTAAAACCTTATAACCTCAGAGCGCATACTGCCATGGAATGGTGCTTTACGGTTGAGACCTTTCTCATCGCAGACCGATGGGCTATCTAAAGGTTGCTTTTCAATGCCTTGCTTGCTAGTGAATGATTGCACATTCCCATAACCGAAGCACTGTCAATGCTCCTGTGATCTCGATTGACTATAACGTATACCTACACGCTACCAGGATAGTCGCAACCGCTTGGTGTACGTTATAACGCACACACCTTGAAACCATCTGATAAATACTTGCTAACGGGTTGTAGGTGGACAACTATCTGTACAGCGTTGCCTTTGTACCAGTGATCCAGGGTAAAACAAGGCAACTGCCCGGACCTGTGTTGTCGCCAGGTAGGTATATATGCAATAACAGTACAAAGTGTAGTAGTGTCTCCCGTTCCTCTCAGAAAGGGTACTTCTTCAGCTTTTAGTCTGCCTTGTGGTATGATTAGAAAGGAAGGAGGTCTTTAGAGATATACGGTCTCTGTGTGTAGGGCTGACCCCCTTAGAACACCCGGTAGACTCAGGTATATGCATTCAATAGCTTATCTGTGCGTACAGTTTTTGCAGTTGGATTATGATTTGTACTAACAACCGTACACGCCTATTTGTATTAGCGTCCTCTATGTGCCAGTCACACGGGAAGCTCTGCACTGACTCGTATACTATCTGTTGACAAGGTATTGGCAACTGTACTATGTATTTGGTTGTCTGCGCCTCATTAAGGCCAGGGGGGTGGGTACACCAGAGGGATAACTTGGTTTTCATTTGTGTTTATTCATTTGTTTGTTCATCTATATATGGGGCTTTCTTAATCTCGGCGTGAAAGCTCGTGCCAGGTGTGGTATGTATGTGATACGTTTATATCCCTCGGACGGGCTACCTGTATCAATCTTAGTTCGTTCCAGACACAAACTAATAAATAATAAATAAAAGGAAATAAGCCGCCTAAAACTCCACGCGGTTGGTGGCTCAGGAATTTGCCCTGTCTCTTTTTTTTGGGTGGGGGTTTGGGGGGGGAGTATACTAAACTGTCTTAGCTCGTGCCACAATGTCCCGTTTCCATTGTCCCGATATTACAACATCAGTAACTTGCTGAAAAGCCCTAAAATATTGGACAATTTCGGAATGCCCATACATTACACCGGCAGTGAATAAAATCGCACGGAAGAATCGAAGGCTCAGCAGAGATTACAGAGACCTTTCCGAAGACGACCTAATGGATGTATACAAACGGGGCAAGGGCAGGTGGGTGTGAACGAAACAAACAAACATGAGATATTTGTGGATATACACGAACGGGGCAAGGGCTAGTGGGTGTGAATGAAACCAATAAACATGGAATACTGGGGAGTTATTGGGTTTGCAAGACTGATAAATGAGAAGACTCCACTCTCCGATGAGGTGGTGGTGAACGGAACAAACAAACACGGGATACTTGGGGGCTATTAGGTTTATACTACTGATGAATGAGAAAACTACAATATCTGAACAAGCAGCAGAGCATGCTACAATTGACGTGATGGATACAGACGTACCAACAATCTTACGGAACTATATGTTATGTATGCGCTCACGTAGAATGTTGGAAGCAGAGTGTGTTATAATTTACTTGCTACATACAGACGTACCAACAATCGCACTCAACTATACTATATTGTGTGTATGCGCCCATGTAGCACACATTACATTAAGTGAACTTGCCGGTACAATCCAGCAGGCAACCACGCAGTGTTGTCATACGCACGTGCACGTGTGTCCTCTAGACGTCATGTAAACACACACTGATATACACAGAATTGTATGACTCGGACCCAGACATGGGGTAATAGTCTCTGATGCAATAACTGGGTTCTATTTGGAACGAGTTTTCATATTCCTCAGCAGCTTACGTTTATTTGAACACCCTCATGAAAAATGTACGGAATGAGCTATTTACTTGGTTCAGAAACTCCCCAGAAATAGGTACCAATGACGCACCTTTTATGCATGTACCAGCAACTCTGTTTCAGATGCAATTAAACCGCAGTCTCTGGGTTCCGATTCTGACTACGCCACATCCATATTTATAATAGATCAATTACGTACTACATTTTAAACGTTATAGGTACGCACAAGTAGGGCCCAGGATCCATTGTGGGCAATCCGTTGGTCCTTGCCCTGAAAGTTTAACAGTAGGAGTGGAATACATATACGTTTGTGTGATAGATGGCTTTGCAGCTCTGCCTGTTCGCATGCGTTGTGGATTGCTGTCTCCGGTAAACAGATGTCTGTCAGAGACTCTGAGAAACACACCAGAAAACGTTAAACATGGTTCAATTCTTGTTAGCTGTAGTTGCCCACGTTTTACGGCCCAATTTCAGTCAGAAAGGACAGGTGCGGAGCACACACTTGTGCGTTTGTACTTTCAGTCCCAACCGGCCTAGCTGTATATATATATATATATATATATGCCGAAAACGTATGATGGGAATCGCCAATAAGTAACTAATTTGGGTTCTGGTTTCAGGAAGAAAGACAGACGGAGGAATACGCAGTTCTTTGATAAGGAGTGGGAGAGGGCGAATCGCAAACGCACCACAACGGAGCCCCAGATGAGCGAACTATATGTGATCGAGGTATGCGAGCGACTGTGGGCAACCATGCGAAGTATGTAAACAATAAGTAGTGTATGATGTAGGATGGCGTTTGCAGGGCCAAATACACTCACACAGGGGCCTTTCAGGGCGGCATACACGCAGGAATTAAGTCAACACCACGCGTACATGGTATGTAGTCTCATATACACGCGCATGGCAACAGTACGGGTCATACATACCCCATAGCCTCATAAAATATTTACTATCTAAAACCTTAAAACCCTAAAACCCTAAACCCCTCACACCGTATATGTTCATACCGTACTGTAAAGACCCCGATCACCTTCCTTTCTCTGTTTCTCGAGTTAAGTTTTGTTTACAACGACGTTTGATTATATTATTAGCATATGGAAACTCACACGTCTTTTCCTGTTGACGTTCAATAGGTTGAGGTCGAGAAAGGCAGAGCACCCGTATACTTTACCCGGGATGGCATAGCCTACATCCGCCGAGACGGAAGTGTGGAGCAGATGAATAGGTCCACCGTCGCGGTATGTACAAGAAGTGTTTTGATACGTATAAATGTATATATATATTATGTTATATTG